TCCTCCTCACCCCTCCCTCCTCCTCACCCCTCCCTCCTCCTCACCCCTCCCTCCTCCTCATGCTAATAACAAGGCTGTGATAGATTTCATATTGATCCCTGTAGGGTTACTTGGATCCTAGTCAGCAGCACACACAACCCTCGGAGACTGTCCTTCCACTCATGCCAGAGCTTCAGTGGGAAGTAGATGCAATGGCATTTGAATGTTAAAAGGTTATTCCACTTTCCATAGTCAAATTTTGAAAATAGAATTACCCCCACCAATCTGCCCCTTCTCCTCCCCTCTGCTGCTCTTTCTTGTCAACGATTCAATGATTACTCCTTCCTTTCTACGGCGACTGATGTAATATCTGTACTTTATACAATGGATTGCAGCCCTGCGGTGTACATTTCAAATTTCACTTCCAAATGGCCAGCATTCATTGGTCAGTGTAGTCCCTGAAGCACTTCTGACCAATGAGTATGGATATTATACCGGCAGCCATGGAGGGGAAAGGGCAATCCTAATTCTATTTTCCAAAATTTGCCTGGGAAAGGGGAATTACCCTTTTAAAAAGGGTGTAGATTAGTGGCCGAGAGCGATGGTACCCAGTCTCAACTCGGAGGTAAGTTGAGGCCCTGTGTGTGGTTACTGAAGTTGTGGCCTGAAATCCAAGAGGCTCCATAGGAATACATTTTAATGACTGACGCAGGTAATTTTGTGCACATTATCATCATTACCTTGGGCACAAGTCACTTCAGTTATTTATTTTTACCTGGAGTAAAAACATGCAGTTTTTCTTCTAATATGTCCAGATTGGTTTACTGTTCTTTTTTTGTTTTAAAGTTGGACTGATTTAAGGCCACTAAAACCTGAGTAAGAAGCTGTTATCATTTTGACTATCTGTACACATTGAATAATTTGGCCATCTGTGACACAAACGAAGACTATTCAAAGAACTGACAGTGTACCAGATCATTTTTTTTTTTACTTCTAGAAATATAAAGCTTAAGTTTTAGGTCTTTTTTGAGTTTAATTTCTTTTACGTCAAGCAGTGTTTAGATGTGAAAACCACCCGTGAGCCTTTTGTACAGTGCAATCTCTGAGGAAAAACCTGCTTCTTGTCCTTTCAGATCTGGAATGTAACACATATTCCTACCTGTGTAAATTGAGGTGTATGAACATATTTAAACATGTAAATAAATTTCAAATCTTATGGCAAAAATGTGTGTTTGGCTTTTTATTCTTTTTTTTTTTTGCAGTATGGGTAGTTGACAGTTCAGCAGTCTTGAATTCTATTTTATATCTGTACAAATCCATTTTATTTTTTCTTTAACAACACAGGCAGCAAGTGATCTTGAAGTGAAAATGTTTTGAAGCTGGTACAAATGCTGACAAGATCACTTACAATGGATTCTGCTTCTTGAATTTTAAAATGTTTAGTTTCCTGTAGAATCAGCTGGTCCCCTGAGCACTGGCCCTGATATAATGTATTGGGAGTGGTTCCTTGCAGGGTCCCATTGATTGTGTGTGCTAGTAAGCTGTGTCCAACAACACAACAAGAACAGCATTAACGATATCTAGGAGGGTGTGGATAGTCATGTTTCTGTGTTTGCTGATACCAAAATCGGGAGGGTAATAGACACGGACCTAGACACCATAACATTACAGGAGGACCTGGATAAAAAAGGGGAGTGGGCAACTATATGGCAGATGAGGTTTAATGTCGATAAATGTAAAGTAATGCACTTAGGGGTTAAAAATAGGCAACAGGGCTACACATTAATGGGAACGCCACTAGGGAAGTCAGAAATTGAACAAAATTTGGGGGTCATTGTAGACTACAGACTAATAGCTTGCAGTGCCAGGCTGCTGTAAACAAAGCAAGTAGAGTCCCGTCTTGTATTAAGAAGGGGATGTAATGCAGTCCAAAATTGTGCCACTTTACAGAACACTGGTTTGCCTTTATCTAGAGTACGCGGTACCAAACTAAGGGGATGGAGGACCAGAGCTATGAGACAGGGCTACAAAATTTTAAATATGTTAAAGCTGGAAGTAAGGAGATTAAGGGGGGCATGATTTTCATGTACAAGATGTTCAATGGTGATGGTAACATCAGTAACCAACTCTTTACGGTTAACTCCATAACAAAGACTAGAGGCCACCATCTAAAATTGGTGGAGCAAAAAATGTCAGCACAAGGGATGAAGGGGGTTCTTCTCAGTTAGAGTGGTTAGGGTCTGGGACTCGCTGCCACATGCAGTGATTTTAGCTGAGAGTGTTGAATTGTTGAAAAGCTTTTGGATGCTTTTCTTAGAGCCCATAACATATATAGGGATACAGGTACACTTAAGAACAAGATCACACATGGACTCATACACATGCAAACACCTGCAAAATCACATACATAGACTTGTGTCTTTATTCAACCTCAAATACTATATAACTATGTAAGAGCAACGCCCCTCCTCCCTTCTACAAGCTAGTAGATGGACAGCTGATGATGACTGTTCTGTCTGTTGTACTCATGGACTGGACAGGGAAGTGGAGCTGAGAGGTGGAATTGTTTGGAAACATGATGACTGTAAGTGCTGGGGCAATAATGTAAGGAAATACTTTGCTGGGCAACGTATAATTATATACGATCTGGATTCATTATTGAAAAAAAAGGTTTGAGAGCTTATTACTATTACTATAACGTGACATTAAAATCACAAATGTTTTCCTCCCCCCCCCCCCCCCCATGCTGCTGTAAGGACTTGCCTTAAATGATGCTTCTTAATCCAGTCATCTTCTGTTCACTTATATTCATCCGTCCCTTCAGCGTTGGTGCCGGTCTCTGATCCAGCGCTGACTCCTGTCTCTTCCTGTCCCACAGAGTCTGTCCAACAAGCATGCTCACGGCTATGTGCATTCAGCTCCACTGTGTCTCTTCTCCTCTCCCCACTGAAGATATCTATTACATATGCAC